GCTCTCTGTTATTTTGTAGTTTTTCCATTCATTTTACAGTCAAAAGAATATCCAAGGAATGTGCCAGGAAACCCAACAAGAAAATGTGTAGAAAAGGAGGTATGTAAAAAAATAAATAAATAAATAAATAAAAATAAAGCCAACACGGAACCAAAGGGAGGAATTGAAAGAGTGAAAGAGAGAGGAGAATGATGGGTGCATCCTTCCAAAGCTGCCAGTATCACCACCTATCAGCTTCCAAATCAAAGTGCTAATTGGGATGAATGTGTGACTCAGATCAACCTTGACATGAGTGTGAGAGATGAGTGAGTGGTTGTGGTGTGTGCATGCTGTTGTGTGATTTTACTATGAGAGAGTGTCAAGGAATGAAATTCCAGGTCCCTAAATGGAGCTCTGTCAAGCAATATATTGTGATGTCTAAGAATAACATGCATTTTATATACTGTACATATATATATACTTTTTTTTCCTTGACTGTATGGCTTGTTCATGTTTAAGCTGTAACATTTGAAATGAAATGCAACTGTTGATTAAATCAGAGGCCTGAGTGCTGCTTTGAAATGTTAGAACATAAAATCTGACTTGGAGAACAAAGGGTTTTAGTTATGTTTCAGACCGCACTGACAGCACTTAAGACAAAAGCTTATTAGAAGTATTTGTCAAACACAACATCTGAAAGTGTCAGAGCCTCAGCCATTGATTAAATTTACACCTGGGCCACCTTTCTCTTAAATTTATTATTCACAGTTGTTCAAACAAGGGGCTGGTGGGGTATTTTATTGGCATGACAACTTTCATTTATCCGCACAGCAAATGCTCAAACACACCGTGATGCAGAAAAACAATTCAATTTAATTAGCAATTGCTAAAATCTCACTGTCACCACAGGGCTACTTTTCTAAGTAGGCACTTGAGGACCTTCCAGGTAGCCCTCAGTCTGAGATCCTGAGCATATCTTGCTCCACAGTAAAGACTCGACTTCAGCTGGGAGACCTCTGCAGTTGATTTCCGTGCATGCAGGAGGCAGCTATTGGCCTCAGCCTGTATGTTTGTACATTCTGCTTTGGTAAACCAATTTTGTTAGAGACAGACTGGTCCTCCAGGCACTTCTGCCTCTGAATTAGTCCCAGTTGGGGAATATGCACCAAAATATCTCTGTAATGTTGCCCTTGCACTTGGAAATTTTTACTTATCTTCTCCATGTTCGGTAATGAGAAAATGGTTTATCAAGTTTCCTATGTTGGTTTTGGAACACATTGTTCTACAGAGTGGTATAAACATGAAAAGTTGTAAATTTCAGTCTTGCTGGAAACTCTCTTCTTATTCCATTTGGACCTTTGTTTAACTGCTTCTAGTAATCTTGTCTTATGTTGAATTAGCAGTGCAAATTACACATAATTTATCCTTCTTCAACAATATAGAAAGCAACCTCTGAAGCATACTTTGGTTTTGGTTAAATGTTTCCAGCAAGGAAGTTAAAGTCTTGTTTGACAAATTCAGAGTGGATTGGGAAACAGTTTAACAGTTCATCAGTTCCCTCATTAAAGAGTGTAATGGTGTCATTTCCATAGTTAGATTTGTTCCATAAAGTTGCAGTTACTAATAGCATTAAATGTTTTCTATTTCAAAATTGTAAAGCTTTCAGTAGAGAGCTGCATAATGCAATAGAGTCATACCCACTGTGCATATTCAGCACTAATAACATCTTCACTAGCAATTTTACAATCAGTAAAAGAGTGATTAATTTTAAAAAAAAAATTCGGTGTTTCACTCTTGATGAAAGGCTTGTGTGATTGTTGCCAGGCAACAGTATGCAGTTGTGACAGGAGCAGAATAAATGGCTCTCTTACCTAACGTGAAGCACCTGTGTTGCAATGGTGATGCCTATCAAGTGAGAAAAATGCATCACCCACTGACCCTGTAAAATGTGTCACTCATGATTTAGATTCTTGTGCTTTATGAGGCAAAAGGTTAGTATATAATATAATTACTTCTACAATGTAGAGGAAGTGTAAATATAGAAGACAATAATCAGAAGAGTGGTCGAATTTATTTTTAGAACTGGCTTTTAATTGATTCATAATCATCTTACAACTGAGAAACGTCTATTCTATATGCTATTAGCATCCTACTGGGAATTGTACAGCACTTAATGCACATGTTGCTCATTTTCCTCCATTAAACGGGAGGAAAGCCCTCAAACCCTGTGCCCTCACAAAAGATCAGACAGACTCATTCAAAAAATAGTGGGTAGGGTTGGGATGACTGTTATTTGGAGCTAGAACTGTTGTGTGGCAAATTCAGACACTGCTAAATAAACAGATCATGGGTCTTTGCTCATTAACAGTTTACACTGACTAAATTGCAGTTTACAGAATGGTTCCTTTTGCTTTAGCACCAAGATGTCCGGGCAGGTAGTGGCTGAGGTTGTGAGGAGGTGGTCTAATGTGCAAGATCAGCACCTTAACCCGCTGCTCTCTCTGAAGTTGCCTTAGAGTGTGCACAGAAAGCACAGAGCAGTGACAGAGTTAGACACAGGAACCTTGGTTATATCACTCAGTCATTTTCTCTGCTCTGAGCCAGAGTGAATAGAGTGAAGAGAGGGGTAATGATGTGCAGGGACAAAGCTAAGCACTATTCAGCCTCAGTGTGCTAGATTTGCTTGAGATGGGTCAATTTTGTCAGGACAAAACCCAATGAGGTCAGTCTTTATTTCTAAAAGAGGTTTACATTGTTAAATTGATTGACAAACTGAAAAGAGAGCTGGTAAATCACATCCTTTTGATGAGATCCTCGCTGTGGCGGAGTTCTGGTGATGCACTCACTGTGCATGCGTGCTATTTATAAAATATACACATTATTTTCTATGGGGTCTTTTTCACTGCTTGTAACCTTCGCCCTAGTCTCTCTGGATAACATCAAGACACTCTGAGATCGGCCCTCCTGACTCCAGAATTCATCTCTCATCATGAGTCTATTTGAGATAAGTGCAATGAAATCTGTTGTATATTTTGGCTTGATCTGGACTGCTCAATAATCATTCCTATGCAACCCTCGCAGGCAGCAGGCTGCCATGTGTTACACAGGACAGTGCCAATACTGAACAGCCCGATCAGTTGCAAAACCTGTAGATTAACTACCCCAGAAGAAACACTGGACATTTTTTTACCTCTTACCAGATGACCTCTAGATGCTAGAGACCTGTGAAAAGAGTCCCAGTCCTCGTTAGATTGCATCTGTGCCATGACAGACAGTAACGCGCATGCTAATCCTGTTGGTTGGCCAACTCAACTGTGCTTCAGAGAGGGAGGGGCTGCTCCTAAAGTGCTGCCGAGGAAATCTGTACAGCAGATAGACAGGACAAAAACTTTCCAAGAATACAAGAGCAAATAGTGGTTTGTGCAATTTGCAAACGGAACAGATGCCCCTATTGTCTGATAGAAAATGACTTCTATAATCATGTATCTGGGTTTATGACCCCAGTGAATCAAGGCTGCGACCAACCAGCGGCAAATCCACTCACACTAACTTGAGATGCAAGACGCAGCCTAAGCAGGAAGTCCCTATTCAGAGGCCTCCTGCTGCTGTTGTGCCCAGCTTCCACGGTCAATCCAAGGCTCAAAATCTCTGTTCTGTTCTTTGTTGATCCCAGACTAAAAAGGAATAGAGAACTGTGGAGTCCTGAAGCTCAGCAAAAGGAGAAAACACAATCTATTATCTCTTGTTAGCTTAGATTTAACACATTATTTCCTCCAGTGGTGTGAAATTCAACCAGGCTTAACTGGTATCTTAAAAAAATAATAATTTTGAATCTGTATCTTTGGAGCTTTGCCACACATTAGGCATTTACTGTATGATGCACTGTCAGTGTGTTTGACAGGGATGAAAAGGGTTCAGATGCTCTGTGCCGTTTTCTGGTGAACCATCAAATGTTTATAGCACATTTGGCATTTCTTCCCAAAACACAATGATTGTGTCCTTAAGGTCAAACAAACCTGTGTTGAACATTTCAATTCTTGGAATAATTCTGGTGGTTACAGTGTTATAGACTACACCTGCATTGTTCTGGCCTTCAGAGGTTTTGAATGAGTCTGAAATTAGCAGTGATTATATTCAACTGTGGTGTAACATCCCCGGCTAATATTTGGTCTGACTCGGAACTGGTTCATAGATACTTTATTAGTGTTGCTCCTTATAATCACAGTATTCCCTCATCACACTGTAAAGCCTAAGAGAAAGAAAAAAGAAAATATTACCAGTTTATCCTAATTAATTATGTTAATGATAATCTCTGTCAGTAAGTACTTTAAATGAATAAAACACCGATAAAGCCCACCTATCATTAGACAGAAATAATGCAATTTACGTGTGGCAGGGGCTCGATTTCATAGTACATGAAATGCTGTATTGTATAAACACATTTACTAACACAATTTTTTAGCAAGCACAACATTGTCAAAGAATGTCAGCTAATGCTAGCCAAGCATGAAGGAACAGTGGTAACTTTGAGCAAACTCCACATAGTTAGCATGCAGCATGCAGCACTCAGTCCCCTTTAAACACGGTAAAACAGACAAATGCATCATAAAGTTCATCCACAATGCACACAACACAAACTAAACTTACGAACCTTGTGCCCACATAAACTGGGTGCTGAACATGTAATTTTTAAGTCAGTCACATCATTTTCTTTTCGCTTTCACCACATACTTTACCGCCTGTTTCTCTTCCTGCCCTTCCTGCTCTTCCTGCTACTGAACTTCTTCTTCTTCTTCTTTTTTCTTTTACTACTTCTTTTTCTGCTGCTTCCTCTGCTGCTTCTTCTTCTTCACAATAAAAGCCTGGACCTCCTAACACAACCAAAGTAAAAACGATAATGAAGCCTTGCTAAAACATATTTACAAATAAACATAAAAACAATTGCTGTTTAGTTTTTTTTACATGCTAAAGGTCATCTACATGTGGTGGGGGGGCACAGCTGAAGCACAGTGTGAGTTTTGGCTGTCCTTTACCACAGGATTACAGCCTCCTTAACCTTTTAGCTGCATTCTCCATCATTCTCTCTTATGTGTCCCTCCCAAGCTGTTCTTTAACCTCTA